CTTTCCCTGGGTGGTTCTCTCTGCTTCCAGAAAGGCCTCTCTGAGATAGGGTGCCCAGCTCCACACTGCCGAGCCCAGCGCATAGTAGGTGCCAAGGACTCTGAGCTCTGCCACCTTCCTGCCCCCACCTCAGTCCTGGAGGACCCGCCGCCTGGTGCTGCTTCCCAGCTCCTCCACGTCATCTCAGCTCTAATGACTTTGAGCGCTGCGCTGTTCGCCCTGGGAATTTATGGGAACCGCGCAGAGAAGCGTCATATAAATATTGTAGGGCTGGAGGCTGGGCTGTGTCAGCACTATTTGGGGCAGGATCACTCACCTGGAACCTTCTGGGCAGGAGCTGGCAGCAGGGCTGTGAGAGGCTGTGGGGAGAGACTGGGGCCCCTGGGTGTCATGCCAGCTGCTCTGGACTACTCCCAGAGCTGGCCAGCACGTCCTGAGCACTCCGTGTGTGGGCACTGCCCACTGAAGCCTCGTACCCCAGAAAGCGGGGACTCCACCCCCTTTCAAGGGAAGGGAGAAGGCCGAGTCCCTGGCAGAGCCACCCAGAGGGGAGATGGTGGAGTGGGGTCAGACCTAGCCCTCGGCTCCAACTACCAGCATCTTAAAAAAAACTACCCCCGCAAACGTCATTTTGAAAAAAGTAAAGCCGCGGGAAAGCTGGCAGACCATCATGATGATCGTCAATGTGAGGGTGCTTCCGCTGTCATGCTCCAGCCTACCCCAGGCCTGCGTCTCTAGTGCCGTGCCTTCCACCTGGGGTCTTGCCCTCCCTTCACGGTGTCAGACTGTGGCCTGCAGCAGTCCGTGAGGCGTCCCTCGGCTACCTGTCCGGAAGTAGATCCCCAGAACTTGCACGTCTGTCCTGGGCTGGAAGCTCTGCCGATACCTGTTCATCATAGGGGACCCCGTTGTCCCCTAAGGTGTAGCTTTCAGCTTCACAGCAACAAGAGAGCCACCACGGCGGAACGAACACACTGACAGGCGGGTGGCGGGATTGCAAATTACGGCTGTCTGATCCTGTCATCCTGTCCACATTTATTAGCTGTCATTCTGTGGGAAGGGGCCCCACCCCCTCCCTTCCCCCCGCTTTATCACTATCACTCCACGCTCACAGTTTCACCCAATTCAGCAGGCTGTAATCAGGGCCGCCATCATTATGTTCTGTGTGATGCTCAAGATGTGCCTGCGGGGGGCAGGCAGAAGGGCTCTGTGCAGATCCCTGGCTCCTCCGGACTCCTCCCAGCCGCCCCCTGAGTACATCGCTGCTTCTGGAATCGTGAGAGGGCCAGGTTCCCCGAATCTCTCTGCCCCCTCAGCCATTTCTCCTGGTGGCCTCCGTGAGTAGGGAATGGCTTCTGGAGAGGGAGATCCAGGCGTGCCCACCGCCACCAGGTGCCACTGCTTCCAGTGCTGTGAGAGCACAGAGCGAGGGGCCACACCCGAAGGGCCTGCCACTGGTGGCTGCCCCCACCCCAAACACTTGCCTCCTCGCTCCCGTGGAAACCTGGCTCTCCGTGTCAGGAGCACTTGCCAGTCACAACAAAGCCTTCCAGTGTCACCGGCCCTCCTAGGTAGAGTTCAGGGCTTAACCACAGTCCACTCAGCCCTTCCACACAGACCCTCACGGCTGTCCAGTCCAAGTGCCCGACCTGGGTGGGTTCTTCCTCTGTGGGTGGCACTGTGTCTCAGTAACACCAGGCCGGTGGGCTGGGTTTGACCCTCACTGGGCTGGAATAATACTTTCACTGGGCCCAGCCTGGACCACAGGGCCCCAGGACCGAGGGAGGGAGCATCACCTTGGAGGTGGGCAAGGGGATGAGGGGCATGGAGACCTTTTTGAAGCAAGGCAGTCCCACCTCTGGGCCCTCATGACCAGCCTGGGTTTGGCATGGTCCCAGGTGAGGCCTGGAAGGCAGGCCTGGTCAAGGATGGTGAATGGGAGGGACAGGGCCTTTGATGAGTTGGCAGTCTCCTCTTGAGGCAAGTGGGTGCGGCCCCTGGCTCCTTTGAGCATTTCTGCGCTCAGGATCCCAGAGGTCCTGCCAGGCTGAGGGGCTCAGGCAGGCTCTGGGCAGGTGCTGCTGCCCTTCACTCCCACCCCAGCCCTTTCCCCACCACCCCACCCACCCGACGTCCCCCAGGCTGGCACACGCTGCCTGCGGTAAACCCTTCTGGGCCCAGAGACGGGCTTTCGAGGCCCCTGGAGAAATGAGCCTGGGTTTCTGTTGCCAGCTTCCCTTTTAATTGAATTCTGGCAGCAGCGGGCTGGGCGGTGGGCGGACTGCTGGTTCAGGTACAGCGCTCCATCTTCCCAGGCTTCACTGCTTCCACCTCGTTTGGCTTTTCAGAGGCGGGAGTTAGGAGGCTCACTGTGTGCGCGGGAGGCCGCACATGCCTCGCTGCTGCTGCTGTGCTCGCGTGCGTGCGGGTAGGACCCCTGGCTTTCTGTCTCTGGGCTCGGCATCGTTTTTGTTGTTGGACGCCTGTGGGTCAGCGTCTGACTTTCGGTGACCCCCGCCCCCATCGTGCGCCGCCCTCGTGATTGGTTGTGGATCTACCCCGCTGGTGTGGGCCTTCGGTTTTCTGTTGATGGATTCCGGGGGTAGGTTCCGGAAACCGGCCCAGCGTCCTGCAGCACGTCCTCCTTCACTGACAGACACGCGGCCTGGCCTCCCACGTGGACCCACCGCAGGCTTCAGTGTCCACTTCTGCCTCGGGGTTGCTGCCTCCCTAGTGGGCACCGTCCCAGCCAGAGGCCAGGGCAGCCCTGAGGTGCCCACTCCCCAAATCCTGAAGGCTCTCTGCCTTAGCCCCCTGGGAACTGGTCCCCGTTGGGGTGGGGTGGGGGTGCGGAGGAAAGAGAACAGCCTCTGTCAGAGGAGGCCCTCTCCCTGCCCGGGGGCCCTGGTTTGAGGAGGATGACGTCCTGACGTGGAGAATTTGTCTGAGGGGGAGCGGCCGCTTCTGCTCTTGGGGGGTCCTTCCCCTAAGGAGTGGGCCGCTTGGTGGAACCAACCGTCCCAGAGTGGCCTGGCCTCAGGGCGGGGAAGCTGGGAAGCTGTGGCTCCAGCCCGTGTCCCTCCTCTGCTGTGGACCACACCCCTTCCCTCAGCCTTGCCCCCTCCGTCTGCCACGCCCTCAGTATGGCCACACCCCTTCCCTCAGCCTTAACCCTCCTCAGACCACGCCCTCCACATGGCCACACCCTTTCCTCAGCTTTACCCCCTCCTTGGACCACACCCTCCACATGGCCACATCTCTCAACCTTGCCCCCTTAAACCACGCCCTCCACATGGCCACACCCCTTCCCCCAGCCTTAACCCTCCTCGGACCACGCCCTCCACATGGCCACACCCCTTCCCTCAGCCTTAACCCTCCTTGGACCACGCCCTCCACATGGCCACACCCTTTCCTCAGCTTTACCCCCTCCTTGGACCACACCCTCCACATGGCCACCCCCCTTCCTCAGCCTTGCCCCTCTGTGGACCACGCCCACCACATGGCCACACCCCTTCCTCATCCTTGCCCCCTCTTCGGACCATGCCCTCCACGCTGCCACACCGTTCAGTGCCCCCTTTTGGTCACACAGCTGGGCCATCCGCCACTGGATCCCATGTTCTCTAGAACCCCCAATCACGCAGGGAACCGGGGAGGAGCGCGGAGTTCTTGAGCTTAGCTCCCCGTGGACATGCCCGAGCCTCCGCCTGCCTTAGCTCCGCGCACAAGCTCGTGGGGTTGAAGCTAGATTGAGCGGGCCCAGGCTGGTCTGCAGAATCACCTTCCAGGTGTCTGGGGCCCGGAATGGCATCTTGTTACTAGGGCATCTCCCTGTGAGTCCCACCCTAGGCCCTCTGAGCCGTACCAGGAACTGAGCCACCTGCTCCATGGCCACCATCAGCTCAACCCCGCCCAGCACGAGAAGAAAATGGAAACTCGTCTTCATCTGCTCCGACGTGTGCCGCTGACACTGACCCTGCAGTGGCTCCAGCTCGTGCCTGCTCCAGGGTGTTCACATTTGCTCACCTCTCAGACCTTTCCTCTCTGTGTACAGTGACACCCCAGATTTTCCCTGGGTAGCTGTCACTGCAGGAGTAAGTGGAGCAGGCCCCTGGTGATCCCCTTCTCTGTTGTGCCCCCAGGGCTTCTGTGGCCAGTGCTGCACCTGCCCTGCCCTGCTCCCTACATCCTGGCCACCTGTCACGAGCAGGGAAACGGGCCCAGGCCTGTGGCGATTGGGGGCAAATGAGATTTCACAGCTGCTCTGATTCCAACCACCCATTCCAGCCAAAGCCTTCTCGTGGTCTTGGGCTTACACCACTCAGACACACTGTTCATATGAAGCACAGTCCTGGGAAGGAAGAGACTTGCCCGGCCTGCCCTGGGACAGTCCTCAGGACAAAGGACCCGCCCAGCCCTGCTCCTCCTCCTGCTCCCCATCTGACGGGACTGCTCAGCTGCTGTTTGTGTTCAGTACTCACACCCCCATTTCTCCGTGTCCATCCACAATCTCTGGAGGCATGGTAGCTGTATTTTATGTTAATCTCCATTACGGTGACAATATGCACAAAATCTTCACTGACACAGCCACCTCCACATGCTTAATTTGCCGATACCAATCCCATTCTTCATGTTGTTACAACCTTTGGCACTATCCCCTACTCAATGATTCTGCAACTGTTGATAAACTCGGTGGTCCCGAGGGAAAACCCCTGCACCTCTCGCCCTCTTTCCCACTCCTGGTGACACCAATGCTCTCTGGTTTCTCTATTTGCTACTGGGTCTAAGGGAGCCCTTGTGCTGTTTGTCCTGTTGTACCACGCTTATTTCAGGAAGCGTGATGCTCAAGGGGCATGTGTGTGGTAGTGTGTCTCAGGACGCTTGCTCTCCCAGTGGCTGTGGGACAGGCCCTCGTGTTGATCAGCTGGCTGCAGATGGGCCCTGCCTCGGTTCTCGCCTTGTGCCTGTTGAGAGGGGTGTGGTGTGAACTGTGGCGTTATGCTAGACAGTTTGGCATGGCTGTGGGCAGGCCATCCGTGGGTACCAGGGTGACTTGACAGTCCCGGGGGCTGGGCATGGAGGTGGTTCCCAGTGTGCGTTTGGGTCGCCTGTTGTGATGGCTGACTGTCATTGATGGGATCCATGTGCCCACCCACCTGTTCCTTGTCCAGGTTTTAGTGTGCACCATTCCGAGCAGAGGGGCGGCTGGGGCTCTAAGGTGCCAGCCCCATCCTCGGAGGCCAAGTCTAGTGCAGAAGGCTAAAGTGCAGCAGGAAGCACAAAGTGGTAGATGCCGCCAGGCGAGACTGTGGAGGCTTGCAGGAGGGGTGGCAAGTCAAGCCGAAGAGGGACATTTCCTTGAGCCGGAGTCTGCAGAGACTGGGAGCTGTTCCTCGGGAGACGATGGTGGCAAAGGGTGCAGGCAGAGGTCACCATGAGGGCAGGGCAGGGCAGGGCCACAGGGTCTGAAGCATCAACCCAGGCCCACGCTGTGGCTGGCATGGAGTGGAGGCAGGAGTTGGAACAGGACTGGGCCTGGGATGCTGAGTTCAAGAACGTGGGCTCTCTCCTGACCACGTGCACCCTCTCTCGTCTTAAGAAACAAGAGTTTATTTGCTTGATGTTTTTATCTTGCTGCTTCTTTTTTAAGGTCAGAACGATACATGGCTGTTGTTGATTTCCATAGGGTTTTCTGGGCTGTCATCTGTATGGGAGCAGGTTGTTAGCCCTTTCTTCCAGGTGCCACCGTGTGGGTTCGAACCACCAACCTTCAGGTCGGCAGCCTAACACTTAACCCTTGTACCGCCTCGTCTCCTTTCAGTGTGCGAGGGGGCTTGAGAAAGTTTGTGGGGACGTGGAATGAAACGTAATAGAATCTTTCCATCCGCGAGTGTTTTGAAGCCACCCAGCGGGGATTGGGTTATCCCAGAGGGCCTCATCCCTCCCACTCCTCTCAGGGAAAAGGCGCTTCCCACCATCCCCATTGGCAATCCGCCTGGCACTGCTCACTGCTCCGTTTGTCGGGACGTTATTGGCTGCCTCCCCTCGAGAAAGACAGGCTTTGGCTGGCACTGCCCACCGCCCTCTCCCAGGGGTCCTGTGGGTGCCCTCCCTGGCTGTAGAGCTGATCCGTACACTTCCACGTCTCCTCCCGGGGATTTGGGCCCTATCTTTCCCCACACAGGTGGCGGGGCAGGCTACAAAGAGTCTGCTCGTGTCCCCTGCCCCTCTCTGTTCACTGATGTCACTTCGTTGTTAGCTGCCATGGAGGGGACCCCTGACTTCCTGGCGACCCCACGCACCATGTGACAGCGCGTGGCCTATCCCTGTGCCATCGCCACGATGGCTTGGGGCCTGGTCTGGTGTGACGCAGAGGTTTTCATCTCCTGACTGCAGAGGCCCATGGCCAGCCCTCTCTTCCTGGCCTGTCCTGGTCTGAAATGCCTGCCCTGCTAGCAGCCTAGTGATACACAGGCGGCTAGTCGCTGCTCTTGAGATGCACAGGCTGGGAGGGAACTGAGCCCGGGTCCCAAGCCCTGCTGGCGAGAGTTCCTCTACGGAACCATCAGTGCCCCCGTCAGATATCCTCATGGCCTTGTTAGGATAAGGGACGTTTACACAGTGGAACCTGGCAGATGCTACAAACCAGGAATTCCTTTGCCCCCCCCCCTGCCCCCCATGCCCCTGCTTGTTAAGTATTTCCCAACACCCCCCACCTAATTCCTCCTAGCCAGGATCCAGGCCCACATCCAGTTAGTAATGCCCCAGAAGAACCTGGAACCAACCATTCCCTGGGGGAGCAGGGCTTGTCCAGAGTGGGCTCTGCCAGCAGGCCTGGCCCTGCACTGACACCCCCCCCACCTCCCGTGCCACAGCAAAGCTTCGAGGCGCACCAGGACGAGGCAGTCAGTGTGACCCACATGGTGAAGGCGGGCAGCGGGGTCTGGATGGCCTTCTCTTCCGGCTCCTCCATCCGTCTCTTCCACACGGAGACCCTGGAGCACCTGCAGGAGATCAACATCGCCACCAGGACCACCTTCCTCCTGCCAGGTGAGGCTGCGGCTGAGGACCAACACGTGGGGGTGGGGGTGGGGGGCACACCTGCCTCAGCCAGGTGAGGCTGCTGAGGGTCAGAGGTGGAGGGAGGGGCTTCCACTGGGGGGCCCCTGCTGCGGTCCGGTGGGCCGTCACACGGCCTTCAGCCAGCAGGAAAAGTGAATTCTGGGAGTGGGCGCGGTGGGGTGGGCCCAGGCCTGTTCATATGGAACACCTTGCTCCCTCTCTCACCTCACAGTAGACTGGGCTTCCAGAAGTGAGGCCCCGAGTTAGGCCCACCCTGGTATTAAGCACCCTCCAATTCTGCCTCCACTCAGCTACAGAATGGGGTGCTGGAGGCGGGCAGGCCAGCCTGGGGTCCCTGTCTTTAGAGCACTTACTAAGAAAGGCCAGGTGGCAGGTGGTGGGGCTGGTTGAGGGTCAGGGTGGCCTCCCTTGGGCCTGTGTTGTCCCCTGAGGAGCTGCTTAGGAGGAGAAGTAGATGCGACTGATGACCAAGGGTTAAGACTTACTCACTGACCACCCCCACCCAGCCCCACACCATCTGTTGCTGCCCCAGACACTGCCCTGTGGGCTCTGCCAGGAGGTATAGGCAGACACCCAGTCCACAGGGTCCAGCTGGCCTCAGCTTACCTTCCCCAGGATGCCCCCTTGCCCTAAGAGACTGCGAGGAAGGGGGCTCTGTCCCATCCTGGCCCTGCTGTCAGGGCTGGCACTACAGCTGGGAGAGCCACAGCCCTGGGCAAGGGCATTCAGTGTGAGCAGCAGGCTGGAGACCCCAAACTGACTCTTACATGGACCTGGCAGATGGGCTGAGGTGGAGGTGGGACGCAGCCATACGCCAAGCCGGACCTCAGCCTGGTGTATTCCTGGGCTGGGGCCATGTGCAGGCACATGCGCTAGCTAGCACCCTGGGGCCTGGGGGGCTCAGCCCGAGACCTGACCCCTCCGCCTAGCTGTGCGGCTGGGTGGTTGCCCTGGGTACCCACCCTGCTGGATTTGCAAGCTTTCCTTCTAGTCCTGAATGAAGGCCACAGCCTGAGTGTCCCTGTGTCTGCACAAGTGACCACAGGGGGTGATGGATTCCAAAGAGCCTTACAGCAAGTGTGACCATAGTCATGATGCCAACCCCTCTCCTGAGCCCTCTTGGGTTCCAGCACTCTACCCCCTACCCCACCCCCCTGAAGCCCATGAGGCAGGGATGACCCCCATTTTAGAGGTGCACAACTGAGCTTTGCTGGGCAGGGTGGCATGGCTTGTCCAGCGCAGGCAGTGGGCCCAGGAGTCACATCAGGTGGGCCTTAGTTTGGAGTCCTGGCTGGTGGGCATGGTTCAGGTGAGTCTCTTCACCTCTGCGAGTCGGGGTGTGGGGTGGGGAGGCTGTGTGGAGGAGAGGCGGTCAGGTGTGGGGACAGGTGGACGCCGGAGCCAGCCTGGCGCACAGAAGGTGCAGGCTGAGAGTAGAACGCTCGTCTGGAGGGGGCACACTCCGGGGTGGGGTTGGGGGGCCCTTTTCCTCTTCTCTCCTAAGCCTCAACTGCAGTGTATTTTATTGTATTTAGCCATTATGCAGGTTAAACCCATTTCCGCTACAATAAAAATCTCCTCTCCATCACAAACTTATTTTCACATTTATGCTGATAGCTAAATTATTTCAAGTTAGAGGAACAACAACAACCACAAAGGAATAATCTTTCGGGCCTTTTTACCACCCCACCCCCACCCCACCCCGTGGTGAGGGCCGAGGCTAGCGGAGCAGCAGTGAGCTTGTGATTAATAAGTGTCAGGCTTGGGGGCCCCGTCCAGCCCCCAGTCGAGGCAGAACAAGAAAAGGCAGCCCCACCTGCGGGCCATGACTGTGCTGAGTGTTTAAGCCACTCTTTCATGCCCATGACCTGCCTTGTTCTTGGCAGTGACCCTTTGAGAGCAGGACGGTCCTGTTACAGGCCCAGAGAGGTCATCGAATGAGTGGCCTAACCCACCCTGCTGGCAAAGCCAGAGGCAGAACCAGGGCTTGAGCCAGAGGCTGTAAGCACAGGTCTCCTTCCAACATGCTGCCCAGCCGTGGGCTATTACACCACCCACCTTGTGCCTCAGTTTCCCTCTTCTACGCACGGGAAAGCAAACAAACCCTCAGACCTGTTACTCAGAATGAAATGCAGCTCCTGGCGGCAACCCCCATGCTGCAGAGTAGACTTGCACGGGGGGGCTTTCGTGGTGGTGTGGTGGTCATCTTTAGGGACGCACGTTCCCAGGCCTGTCTTCCACCGCACCCACGGGTAGTTTCTGAGTCAGCTCACCTTGAGTGGTGGTAGAGCATAGACCATTTTGCCCACCCAGGGACCGGTCTAAACAGCGAGAGGCCTACATCTGAGTCAGAGCCCATTCACACCACATAGGGTGGCCCAGGGCCCCTGGAGTCAGGCTGACCCTGTTAGTGCCCCAGCTCTGCCACCTTGTAGCTCCCAGTGTCCCCGCCCTGCAGCCCATGCCAGGACAGCGCACAGGTCTCTGGCTTAATCTGTGATGGAGTCACAGAACCAGCCTCATCTTCACGGCGTCCCACCTCTCAGCATAGCTCGTCTGTGTTGGTTGACCCTTGTGTGGGGTCTTCCTAGGGGGGCAGCTACAGCAGAGCCCATGGAGGTGGCCTCTACCCTGGTCAGGACACCCAGGGGCTGGGTCTTGAACAGGGCAGGTGGGATCTGGCTCAGGCTCTTGTGTGTGTGTGTGTGTGTGTGTGTGTGTGTGTGTGTGTATGGGTGGGGGGGCAGTGGGTTTTCTGAAGGTCCAAGAATTTGCTCCCCCAAGGCTTGACCTTCTTAATCCACAACACGCAGTTCCTCTCTGCCCCCCACCCCCGAACCTGAGCTAAGCTGGAGGGGGGTGGGTTTCTGGAGCGAGCTGGGTGACCTCAAAGCCACCCCCCTCCTGTCTTCATGGAAGACAACAAAGCAGGCTCCTTAAGTTCTTTATTAGAGGTATTTTTTAAAGGCTTTTAAGTATTTTTTTCTCTCCCCACACCAGCAAATGAAGTAATTGCATGATTAGTAATAAATTTGTTCCTCCTGTAAGAGTGGGATTTCTTTTTTTTTTTTTTTAGGGTGTGTTAAAGATTTATCACGCTTCCTTCCCCTGACCCCTTTTTTCCACTGGAGTTCCCAACTGGTATTAATGCATTTTTTAACCCAAACTCCCTCCCCCTCTTAACTAGACAGGTCATTAATAAAATGTTCTCCGGGAGCCTGAGCCTTTTAGAGTTGTGTATCTCCAGATAGATGGCCTGGGTGAGTTGAACACTGCTGCATTAAGTCTCTGTGATAAAATATTTATCCACCATTAGAATTTTTTTCCCCCTCCATCATCTTCCCTCGGACTGAGTGTGTGAATTCTTGCTCTTTTCCTCAGGGGGAGGGGGCGGGGGCAGGGCCCGAGTGAAGGCTGCAGATGAGGTCATTTCTCAAGTTCGAAACTCTCACCCCCTGCCGGGCTCGCTCTCCTTCCATCTGCTGGCGTTGAGAGGCTGCAGGGGCTCCGGGAGATAGTCTCCCGCCCGTCTCAGGGCTCCTGGGGCCTTGGACCAGGAGGTGGGGCTCGGAGAGGAACCATCCACCCTGCCCAGTCTCCTGGCTGTGTTGTTGGTGTGGGTGCATGAAAGAACCGGCCCTAACACAGTGGACCCCCAAGGACTGCTAGTCATCAGAGCCCTGTCCCCACGGTCTGTTTGTTGATGGCACACTCCGGAGGTGAGGAGCCGTGCCCGGCAGATGCACAGCTAGATGCTGCCTATACAAGCACGTGCGGCCAAAGTGACTTGTCCGCAGTCACCCAGCTGCCAGGTGACGTCAACACCAAGCCCTTTCCCGTCTCTCTTCCCTGCTTGCTCGCTCGCTCACTGACAAGTAGGTTTTCCCAATTTATGTTGTTCTTTATTCCAGCGATTGGATACCTTTCCAGATGGGCGTCAGATACACACAAGGAGCCCCTGGTAGCACATAAAGTTCAATGCTCAGCTGTTAGCTGGAAGGCTGGTAGTTCAAGTCCGCCCAGAGGTGCCCTGGTAGACAGGCCTGGGGAACCTCCTTCCAGAAGGACCGTGCACACGGAGGCCGCCGCAGACCCCACCACGCACCATTCACGTTGCGGTGCAGCCGTCTTCCAGCTAGACTCCAGGCTCTCCGTTTGCCCCCAAAGAGCAGTGCCCCTCCCGCTTTCTTTCCCCGCCCACTGCAACAGCCTGGCTCCATCAACTGTCCAATCTGTTCAACCCCTAAGCTGCTGCCATCCGCCACCCGCCCAGCTGCCCAGATAAGACACCACACAGCCGTCCCCAGTTCCTCCCTACACAGTGGCCTGTCCCCAAGCCTGCAGGCTCTGCTTTGGAACGTACTTCAAACGAGTGGCTCCTCCTCCCTCTGCCTGCCCCGGGCATCCAGGGGCCACCTTCCTAGTCCCCCTGACCCCCTGCCCCCAGCAGCCCCTCAGTCCTCCCTCACACTGCTGTCCACACTTCAGGTTGCGTCACCCCTCTGCCTAGACTCGGACCCACCTTCTACTGGCCTACCAAGCTCCCCATCCGACCTCTCCCTCGGACCCCCGCCGGCCATCTCACCCTGTCTGCTGCCCCATGGAGGCTCACTGTCGTCATAGGACCCTCACATGTGCTGTCCCCCAGGGCTGGCCTCAGGTCTGTGTGGCCAGCCACCCCTGGTCACTCGCTTTCCCGTCCTCAAGACAGCCCCCTCTGTCCTTTGGGGCAGCAGAGGGAGGATGTAACTCAGGGACCTGTCCACCCTCCAGGTCCCGTGTGCCTTTGTGTATGTCCTTGGCCCCTACGGTGCCTCTCCTGGGCTGCCCTGCTCCACCCTGGAGCTGCAGTTTAGTTTTTAACTCAGGGGAATGAATGCCAGAGTTCTTCAGCTTCTTCGGCCATCGTTCAAGCCCTCAGTAGCTGCACATGACCCTTGCTACCAAATTGGACAGTGCAGAATCTTTCTGCCACCACTGGCACACCGTGGGCACTTGGGGGCCCAATGCCATGTTTCACAGGCCTGGCACACTGCAGTGGGCACTGCCGAGGGCACCCCAGGGTGGTAGCCAGCGACTGCAGCCTCCTGAGACTGTTAGTGAGGCAGGGGAAGCACATCCCCCGGTGTTAGGTGCTGTGGAGTTGGGTAGCTCCAGCCCTGCTTGGCTGCATACGCCGGCATGACGGATGGCCCACACCAGTGTGCACAGAGTTCAAGTCACCAGGTCAAGGGCATCGACCCCCGCTCGCCTAGCCCTCTCAGTGACCAGAGGCCCAGATGCACACTCCCGCTTGGGACCCACTGCCCAGAGCCCCACTTGAGATGCAGTGTGGCATTGCTCTTGCCGTGCTATGTGGAATAAATAGGAATCTCCTTTCTGGGAGAATAGACACACACACACACACACTTCCTGCAAAGCAGGGCAGAGGGTTGAGGCAGGGCTGAAGGGGCCCTTTGGAGAGGTTGGAGGTCCCTGAAGCCTGTGGGACCCGGCAGGGCTGCTCACTGCCCCATCGGTGGTCCAAATGCCCCCGCCCTTCCGGGGGAGAAAGATGAGGCTGTCTGCATCTGTAAAGATTTGCCGTCTTGAAAACCCTAGGAGGGGTCTCTGTGAGTAGTAATCGACCGGATGGTAGTAGGTTTATGGGGGCTGCTGACAGACCGCCAACTCCGGCAGCGCCTAGGCCTCACTGCCTTACAGACTCCCTCCCCCAACCCTCACACTCGGCTTGGGGGCTTGTGTGGGTCTCTGCGTTAGCTCCGACAGTAAGACCCTAGGCAAGAATGGGCTCTCTGCCAACCAGTGTCCCCCAGGTAGCTCCACAGGCCCAAGACCTTTGCCAGAGAACCAGCCAGCTTCCTGCTGCCCCATGGCCACCCTCTGACGGGCAGGGCTGCTCACGCTGACCTCTCTCCCTACAGGCCAGAAGCACTTGTGTGTCACCAGCCTCCTGATCTGCCAGGGCCTGCTCTGGGTGGGCACCGACCAGGGCGCCATTGTCCTGCTGCCAGTGCCCCGGCTGGAAGGCATCCCCAAGATCACAGGTGAGTCTCAGCCCCGAGCCCCCAGGTGCTCACCTTTCCTCCCGACTCCGGGAGGGGCCAGTCTGCAGTGCATTCCATCATGGCAGGTGGCTGGGCCGTCCCAGCCCCGCTGCCCCTCGCCCTCCGGTGTCTCCTGTCCTCTGCTCTGGCAAATGGGGTCAGTGGTGCTTGCTGCCATGTAGTCTGGGATTGAACAAGGAACCCTACAAACAGTGCATCCCCCTTCTGCTCCCCCCTCCCAGTGATCTAAACACACCCAGGGCCTAGGAATAGAGTCGGCAGGGGGACAGCACTGCCCCTTATGGGCGGCCCTGTGTAGTTCTGTCTGCAATGATTACAGGAAGGGCTACCCGTGGGCAGGAGAGCCAGGCCCCGGCATCTGGAGTCCCAGAACCAGAGGGTAGGGTGAGAGGTGGGCAGCTAAGGACATCCCTGGGCCTCTCTGGCCAGTGTGGGCATCAAGGGCCCCGGCCCCTGGAGTCCAGGTGGACCTCAGTCACCACAGGTGCTCCCCCTACTTCTGGAAGGGATCCTGGGTCAACTCATATGATATGACGCAGGGATTAAAGAGAGACGCCTCGGGGAGGGGAACACCCTTTGAGAGCCCCGGGGAACCCCAGCACACAGCCCTTGGCTCACCGCTTCAAAGGGTGTGGGGTCAGAGGAGACTAAGTGGCCCAAAGGCAGACCAGCGATTTGCTCCCCGGGCAGTTTCCCCTCCAGGGAACCCCTGGCAGCCCCTGGAAATCGCTTTGGATGCCACAGTTTGGAGCAGGGGTTTCCAATGATGTCCAGTGGGTGGAGGCCAGGAATACCGCAACACACAGGGCAGACCCCACCCCAACACAGAATCCTCCGTGCCTAATGCCAGTCAGCCGAGAAGCCCTGAGACTAGACCAGCCCAGCCAGAGTGGGAGCCCCTCCACCCGAAGGAGATGCTTCAGGCCTGCATCCCAAGCTGCCCTGTTTTCTTTAAACCGGGCATTTGGTGGTCATGTGGGTAGGGAGCTGACAGGCTAGCTGGGGTCCCTGTGGTCCCTGCTGTGGTGAGAGCTGTCCCTGAGGCTAAGGGGCATGGAGGCAGGGCCCACCTGCTGGCTAGCGTGGATCCCACAGGGACTTGCTGTGGGAGAGCTTGGGCGGGGCTCTGAGGCCACAGCATCCCGTGGAAGGAGTGGCATTCTGGGAGGAGGCAGGACTCTGGGAAAGGCAGAGGGACTGAGGATGGTGCATGCAGTGGGAGCTTCCCACTGAGAGTCGCCCCAAGTGCTGTCAGAAGGAAGCCCTGCCTTGGTTCATGTGCTGGTAACAGAAAGATTGGAGGTTCAAGTACCCAGGGGCACCTCAGGGGACAAGGCTGGAGATCTACTTCTGAAAAAGCCAGCCACTGGCAGCTCCATGGAGCACAGTTCTACTGTGACAGCCATGGCGCTGCCGTGAGTTAGGGTCAAGGGGAGGGTATCATGTTTGGGGCAGTTCCCTGGAGCAAGGCCACGGGGAGGGCGCCCACCTAGGTGGCAGTTGCCAAACAGAGAAGCTACCGGAAGCCCTCTGAGGACATGGCAGCGTTGGAGGCCTGTCCTTGATGCCCTGGGCCTCCTGGGGCCCATTTCCTGCAGGCAAAGGCATGGTCTCCCTCAACGGTCACTGCGGGCCCGTGGCCTTCCTGGCTGTGGCTACCAGCATCCTGGCCCCCGACATCCTGCGAAGCGACCAGGAGGAGGCTGAGGGCTCCAGGGCCAAGGAGGACCAGGCAGATGGGCAGCCCCCCGAGCCAGGGCCCACATCAGAGGGCCACGTGGGCTGCGAGCTGACCCGCAAGAAGGGCATCCTGCTGCAGTACCGCCTGCGCTCCACAGCCCACCTGCCCGGCCACCTGCTGTCCATGCGGGAGCCCGTGTCCGGCGATGGCGCAGCCCTGGAGCACAGCGAGGAGGACGGTTCCATCTACGAGATGGCCGATGACCCCGATGTCTGGGTGCGCAGCAGGCCCTGCGCCCGCGATGCCCACCGCAAGGAGATCTGCTCCGTGGCCATCATCTCGGGTGGCCAGGGCTACCGAAACTTTAGTGGCGCCCCTGGCCTTGGCGGAAGGCCGGCCCCCTGCGGGGAGACAGACAGCACCCTCCTCATCTGGCAGGTGCCCTTGACACTATAGCCACCCCGTCCTCCCCCAGGGGCACCGTGCAGGCCGGCCACAGCCGAGCCAGGCTCCCAGCCTACCGTCGGGGTCCCTCCTTACCGAAGGCCCCTTTCAGGGAGAGAGGGGTGAATCCCCTCTCAAGACCCACACAGAGCCAGACACGGAGGCCTGGATTCGGGACCTGGCAGAGCGGGAGAGAGTCTTTCCACGTGTCCTGGGGCAGCGTCTGAGGATCTGGGGGAGGAACGACACCTCCAAAGGAGATGGTCTTCTCTTTAAAAGCAACACACGAAACCTCACAGCTGCCTGGTTCAGCCGAGCCCACCCCCGGCCCGCCCAGCGCCCGAGCAGGGTGCCCGTGAGGGTGGCTGAGCCTGTGAGGCTGGCGTGTGAATCTCTATAAATACGTACATATGGTGTATATTATATGTGTATAAATAATGTCTGTACATACCAGAGCTCTGGAAGATGCTGGAATAAAAGACAAGAATAGTGTCTGTACTCAGATGGAGGTTTTTGGGGAGTGAGGGAGCTTAGGGAGAGGGGGCCTGAGCAGCTATTGCTGGGCCCAGCTCGCTCCGCACCAGCAGGAAGGGGGTGGGGCCATGCGGGGACAGTCGGCCCAGAGAACCCTGCTTGAGGGACAGGTCCTACAACGGCGCTGCCCCGCACAGTCACCGCTGGCCACAGGTGGCTGTTTGTTTAATTTTAAATTCAGTAACATTAAATAGACGTCAACACCCAGTGCCTCGGTTGCATTTGCTGCATATCAGACTCGGCTTGAATGGCCCCCGGGTGAGTGGCGGCCTCATGGTTGGATATTGATGTGTAGGGTTCTCTTCTCCCTGAGAAGGGGCCCTTGGGAGGGCCCTTTCTCAATACGGCTTTGTTCTAAAAGAAGGGATGGCCATCCTCACCGATGGGTGACACTCAACCCCACCACAGGGAGGCTGCTAAGGTGCATGGCTGGGGGGCAAGGCCTGGGGGGCCTTCTTTGGAGGGGAGCTGTCCTTGGGTCTGAAGGAGGCTTCTGTGGGTCCCAGATGGGGCCCCTGGGCAGTGGTACTGGACCCTGCCCTTCCCCTCTCTAGCTCAGCCCACCCCCATGTTTCTAGAACCTCCTGCAGGGAAATCCAAACCCCTCAAATAACCGGGCAGAGGTTCCTCCATCTCCCCTGACCCATCTGCCAGCCCATCTGTCCAGTCATCTGGCCGCCATGAGGGAGCAGCCTCGCTGGGATGCAGGGAGAACTGAGCTGGAGAGCTGGAGAAGCAGGGCTGAGGGTGGGGGAGCCTGGCCACATAAGGTGGACCGGGCAGCAGTGAGCCTTCCTTAGACTCCCAATGTGAACGGAGGCCCAGGTCACTTCTGGTATGGAGGAAGAGCCGCCCAGACGGGGACATTGCACCTGGGTGCCGACTGGAGAAGTCATTCATTCATTCATTCATTTTATTTATTCATTCATCACCCTCCCCTTGTGTTCCTCCTCCATGCCAGGAGGCATGAGACAGCCTTGGCACAGCCCACAGGTGGCACACAGTTTGGAGGGGAGGCAGGCCTGAATGCCCGTGGGTGAGGGAGGGTTCAGGAGAGTCTGAGGGGCTGCAGAGAAGGGGGAAGGCCCTGGTGGGAAGAGGCAGCTGATACAAGGTGCAGGGCACATAGAGGTTGGCTTGTTCCCAGAGGATGAGAGGTCCATGTAGATCCCTGGGGCTGGGGGGTGCAGGGAAAGCCAAGGCCCTGGAGCAAGGGAGTAGGCGGCCACCTCCCATTCCAGAGAGTCCCTGGGCCTCACTTCCTCTTCAAATCAAGAGATGTAACCGCCCCACTTCGCTCTTGCATTAGAAGAATCCTTTCTCGCTCCGGAGGGGATAAAACACCGTGCGGAATGTCTACTGCTCAGATTAATGATGCAGGCCTCGGGCCAGTGGGAATCTCAGTGAGTATGTTCATCCCAATAGCCAGACTCCACTTCAACTTCCCCTGGGATGGTGACTGGGAGCAGAGGCTACCTGGGACAGGGAGTGAGCCTGAGCTGGAGGACACGGCCCAGCTCCTCCGACCCCGGCCAGGGGGCTCCAGCATCCCTTCAGCCCAGGGGTCCTCATGCCTCTTGCGAGGGACACTCCGTGCACAGCGGAGCCCTGGTGACTCAATGGCAGAACTCCCGCCTTCAAAGCAGGAGACCCGGGAGCAGTTCCTAGCAGCTACGACCCATCTGCCCCTAGAGGCTTGCAGGGGCCTATGATGCTGAACAGATGACAGCGAAGCTTCCAGATGGAGATGGATCATGCCGAAAGTTCTGGTCATTTACTTCCAAAAGCCAGCCACTGAAAACCCTATGGGTCCCTGCCATCCGGTGGCCGTGAGGAAGGTGCAGGCCTGGGCGGTGTTTCCCTTTGTTGGGTGTGCGGTTGCTGCCAGCCCTGAGCCAGGTGCATGGCAGTGAGCAGCGACGGCAGACCTCACAGAACTCAGGATGGCGGGAGCCCGAGGGAAGCTCCGGATGGGTCTCTGCACTCCGTGTGGCTTCCACGGTAATGTGATGGGTACTGCCTTTGTTCCAAATGTCATGGACCCCCCTTTGTGCTGGTGTTGGGTTTGGAGAGCCTCGTGGGTCATTCAGCGGAAGGGGTGGGGGGCTGGAGATCAGATGGGGCCCGTGGAACCCTGTCACCAAGAACATGACTGAATGTCGCTGGAGTAAAATCCTCGTATCAGGCAGCAGCTCAGCTCCTGAGTCTCTGACAACCGAGCGGGGGCTTGCTTCAGAAGGGACTCCTGAGGCTGGGGCCGTGCCTTGACTCCAAACGGAGGGAGTCCGGGTTAGGTACTGGTCCACTCACACAGTTCCTCCCCACAGGCGCTCCAAGTGGCTGCCTGGGCTTGCCTCACTCTGCAGGGGAGGGCGCTGAGGTCCAGGGGAGTTAAGGACCTGGCCCAGGAAGATTTAGGGCCTAGAAGACCCGAGGCTGCCTGATGCCAGGGCTTAACCATTAGACGACCCTGCCTCCAAGGGCAAGACAGTGGAGCCACACTGGCCTGAGTGTGAACAGACTTGAATCTGCTTCCCTGATGGCCAGCTGTGTGACCTCAAGCAAGTGCGTTAACCTCTCTGTATTTCAGAAAATAACAACCCCGAAACGAGGGCTGTTAGAAGGGGAAGCTGCCCAGCCTGTCTGTCTTGAAAGCCCACCCCAGGCTGGGCTGGTTCCGGTGGACACTGCATCAACAGTGACAAGCAAGACCTTCTGGAGAGATTCCCGAACTCAAGTCCAAACTCACCACCATCGAGACCGTCCCAACGTGTAGCGACCCTATAGCACAGGGTAGCACTGCCCCTGTGGGTTTCTGAGACTAACTCTTTTTTTTTTTAGACTAACTATGGGAGTAGAAAGCCTCATCTTTCTCCCAAGGAGCGGCTGGTGGATTCAAACTGTGGACCTCCCTGTGCTGGGGACTAATAATGCAGAGAAGGGGCATAGCGAGTGCTAGGAGGGGCCTGAGGCGGTAAGTAGGGGCGAGGAAAGGCCTGAAAGAGGGGATGGAGAGCCCAGCAGAGCAGTCTAGGGACCTTGCAGTTATTCCCCAGAGGGCAGGGGTGGGGGGGGAGGCTGCGAGGTCAGACCTTTGCCTGCCACTCAGAGATGTGGGCAGGCACTGGGGGAGCAGAAGACTGGCACCATCCATCTGATGCTCTAAAACAATTCACTTTCTGTTCTGAATTGAGACTAACTCCTGGGGAGCGGGAAGTAGTAGATGCCCGGGAGCTTGGGGACCAGCGAGGGCATGGTTACTATTAATACAGGCAAGACCGGGGGACAGGGCAGAAATGATACGAGTGGCCAGGTTCTGGAAGTGTGATGGTGGAGCCCATTGGCTTTGCTGATGGAATGGAGGAGAGAGAGCGGTGGTCAGGGAGGATGCCCAGGGGCTAACCTGAGCCCCTGGAAAGAGAAGATAAAGCTGCCCCTGGCTCAGGCAGGTTTCCCAAGACAATTGAGAGTTAGGTTTGGGTTCCAAGAGGAGACCTAGAGACAATTATATTTGTGTGTGTGTTATATAGATATAAAAAATATAGTTGTATGTTTCGTATACCTATAGATGGAGGTTTCAAAAAGTCTGTGGAAAACAGAATTCAGACATAATGGAATGATCCTGTTTTCCCATGAACTTGTGGAGGCCCCTGCCAGGCCTCCATTTCTCCCAGTGATTCTGCATGGGTAGGCATCACCTGGGATCTCGGGCAAATGTGGATTCTTATCCAGTCTGTCAGGAGACAGGAGACAGACGTACAGTCTCAGCAGGGGTTCACCCAGAACCCACATCCTCTCCTTTACCGCTGGGGAGCAGCCGAGACTGACAAGGCTAGGTCTCCTGGAGGCGGGGTGCCAGCCCAGCAAGTTTCCAGGTAGAATTTGGTGTGGTTGCCCACCTGACCTGTGGCTGTGTCCTCCTGTTGCCGACTGGCCACCCATGTTCCCTCTCTGTGCTCAGGCCAGGGCTCCCAAGCCCCTACTTACCCCTCTAGAAGGTGGTTCCAGGCCCTCTCATCGCAGGCCACGCACTGCAGGGTGGCAGCAAGGCTGAGGTCATTCCGTCTTGCATCCTGCTAGCCCTCATGCTTGGGACCTTCCAGAAGGTGGGGTGAAAATTTGGCAGTCACCGCCAGGGGTGGACGGCCCTAAGCAAGCACTTGTGCATGGTTACTAATCTACAGGGAACAGTTTCACTTGCTGGTCTCCTCTGTCGGTCCTGAGGTGTAAGCTGGCACCATCTCAGCCCACTTTGGTCTTGAGACCTCTCTCACTCTGGTCCCTCCCCCGGCCTGGCAATCCTCTCACGCCTCCCCACTCTCTGCCCCAGAGAAGCTCAGACCAGCACACCCCGACCCCTTATGCCCGTGTTCTTCTGCTCTTCTGCCCTATGGGTGCATCAGGACACGGACACCTGGCCCGTGTACTCAGGCTCCCCTCAGCCAGTCTGACCCTCTCCTGGCCCCATAATGCTCGCTCAGCATCCAGAGAGGGTGGCCTGCACTTCCCTCCCTGGGAGCCCAGTTGTGCGCAGCCTCAGTCCCATTCCCTGTTCAGGCCCGTCCTGTTTCCAGCCTGCGGCTGAGAATGTAGCCCCCTTCTGGGAAGAGCAGCTTCCCCTGCTGGAGTCTTTGCTCTGGAAGCCCAGCTTCCCTCCTGTCCGTAAAGAAATGATGCGGCCTGGGTTTCCCCTGAAGCAGATGCTCAGGGGAGGATTTTGACTCAGGTAGTTAAGCCAGGAAACGTGGAGGGGCAGGCGGGTGGGAGAGGGGCGGAGCCCCGTCCAGGCCTGAGTGGTGGATGTAGAACTCGGCTGCAGAAGCTCAGTGTCTGAGCTGCTGGCTGGTGCTACAGATTGCAGACCTGCGTACCGCTGGCTGTGTGAGCTACTTTCTTAAAATCTCTGCCTCCCTCCCCTCCTCCCGCCTCCCAGCCATCCATTAACCCTTCCATCCAGCCACTCA